GGTAGCATCTAGAAGTATCCAGCAGCATCCCAGTTCCTCGTGTGATGATGATGTTGATGCTACGCTGAGGCAGCCGTACGACCGCTTATTCCTACTCGCGCGACGTAGTTCCGTTCACTCGATCGCGTTACATCCAATTAGCATCCGCGTCATGAAAAAAAATGTGTTCCCCCGACACATTAATTGTCACGTTATATCCGATTCGCGTTCTGAAAACAACAACAACAACAACGACGACATGCAAATGGTTTAGCCATCCCACGAGCCGCACAACCTTCTGGGAGCGCGTATATCCCAGCGGCATTGAGTTCAACCACGTGGCACGGGCTCCGAGCCGCTGTCGACGTTCGCTGCCCCGTAGGCCGTCCCGGAGGTTGCTAAAACAAAGGCGCACAACGCACTGCCAGGGAGTACCGCGCCTGTGTAAAGCCACTACTACTACCACGACGGCGACGCTCGTTTCAACCTCTCACATTGGGAGGCACGGGCGCGGTGGGAATGAGAATGAGGCGATCACTCGTCCGCTCCTTCGCGGTGACGACTGGCCACGGGATGAGAACGAAAACATCGGGGGAACATAGACATAGAGTAGGGAGAGAGGAGGTAGAGAGAGAGAGAGGGGGTAGAGAGAGAGGGGGGGTAGAGAGAGGGGGTAGAGAGAGAGGGGGGGGGGTAGAGGTGGTAAGAAGGAGGAGAGCAGAGCGTGAAATCTTTCATTTAAACAGGGGGGTCACGTAAAGCAAAGCATTGGAAAAAAAAACCCGAAATGATAAACGAAGCCAAGTGCCGTCTACACCGAGCATCTTCTTGCTTCCTCTGATCGTAAAAAAAAGAGAAAAATAAAATAGAAGAGAACGAGAACGAGGTGTGCGGCGTGCAGGCCGCACGGCCAGAGAGGGAGAGAGAGAGAGAGAGCCGGCCACGTGGAAGGTCACCGGTTCAACTCCTGGTTGGGGCGGGGTGGGGGGTGAGTGGTTGACTCAGGACATCGTCCTTCCCGACGTCCTTTCGATAGACTCCGCCACGCCCCCGCCATGAGAATGTGGAATTCCCACGACTGGCTCAGGGGGCTGTAAACCGAGAGGCGAGCCAGCGTCTCGGGGGTGATCGGTTTTGAGCAGCGAGGTCACTCCGCGCCAGCCGGACTGCCAGCTACAAGCGGGCACGCGAGCGGCGAAGGGAAAGTTGGATCGACTCTTGGTGATGGGGAGCCCAGGACGGCCCGACCGACCGCGTGCCTGGGAGATTTTGGTAGTTCGAGAGGGCGTGGGGCACCACGTGTCAGCCCCCCCCCGACACTCCACCCCCCACGCTCCGGGTGCCTGAACACGGCCGAGTTATTTTTGTCTGCGCGGCGCGTGACAGAATCCCCCCACCCCCCGCTCCCTACTGCACCCGCCCCTCTGTCTGTACATTCACTGCCTTTGTGGGGGGGTGTTGGAGGCACGCGTGGTCGTCATTGGGTCGACCACGTGTGTTTACGTGTGCAGGTGTGTGAAAGCACGTGTGTACGTGTGTGAGAAGACTATGTATGTGCATGTGTGTATACGTATGTGTGTGCACGTGTGTGAGATAACGCGGAATCTGATTGATTGATTGCTTCTGTGGACAGGTGTCTTTTATACAGGTAACAAGCTGAGATTAGGAGCACTCCCTTTAAGAGTGTGCTCCTAATCTCAGCTTGTTACCTCTATAAAAGACACCTGGGAGCCGGAAATCTTTCTGATTGAGAGGGGGTTCAAATACTTATTTTCCTCATAAAAATGCAAATCAATTTATAAAAATTTTGACATGCGTTTTTACGGATTTTTTTGTTGTTATTCTGTCTCTCACTGTTCAAATAAACCTACCATTAAAATTATAGACTGATCATTTCTTTGTCAGTGGCCAAACGTACAAAATCAGCAGAGGATCAAATACTTTTTTCCCTCACTGTATACGTATGTGTGTGCACGTATGTGTGAGAACATGTGTGTGTCTACGTATGTGAGATTACGCATGTGTGTACGTGTGCGTGAGAACACGTGTGTGTGTGCGCACTCGTGTGAGAGTGTGTACGCCTGTGCACACGTATGTATATATGAACACGCAGTTACACGAATGTCTAAGCACACACACGCGCACATGTGCGTGTGAACACGTGGTTGTGTTCGCACCTGTGTATTCACGTTTTAAATGTAACTCTGTGTTGACGCAGGTGTGTGTGTGCAGGTTTGTGTAGGTCGACTCAGCCTCAATGAGTACCTGGTGCGGTGTCGAAACATCGCCACTGGGGAGACAAAGGCGGCCGGGCGTGGTTCTGGTCACCCACCCCTTAGCATGCCGTGCCGGCCATTATAGGTGCTCGCATTTGCCCCAACGGTCTGTTCAGGCTACACGGGGGATCTTTGTCTTTGTGTGTCTCTGTGTGTGTTGTGTGTGTGTGTGCGTACGCGTGGGGAGTGGTACACACGCGTGGACACGTGGCCTGTCTGTGTGTGTCTGTGTGTCTATCTGTGTCTGTGTGTGTGTGTCCCCAATAACCCTTTAGTGACTTTGCCCAGGAGGTCAATGTGCTCTTGAGTAGACGTGGGAACACGACCTGACCCCCCCCACCAAACCCTACTAGAACTGTTAACGACCCCCCTTAGCCCCCACCTCCTCTTGAAACAAGAACGTTTTCAATCAGTGCGCGGCGTCGTGCTATAAACGGACGGTTCAGAAACAGGGAAATGAGGAGAGCGGAGATGCGGTGGAAAGCGTCGCCAAATCAACGCGTGAACAAACGCGTGAGCAAACACGCGTGGGGGGGATGGTGAGAGAGTTTGATGCGTGCACACTCCCGGATTAATTGGAGTAGCTCACGAGAGCGAGAGAGAGACTTGCGTGTCTCTCTCTCTCTCGCCAGGCGAGGGAGAGAGAGAGAGACGAGGAGAGAGAGAGAGACTTGTGTCTCTCTCTCTCTCGCCAGGCGAGGGAGAGAGAGAGACTTGCGTCTCTCTCTCTCCCTCGCCAGGCGAGGAAGTGGGCTGGGGGCGAGACGCGTCGCTGTGGTGGTCGAGACGAATGACGGCGCAGCAGCCAAAGGCTGTCACGCATCAGAGAGGGGCCAGCAGAGAGCGAACTATGTCGAGGGATAGATTGGTCGCAGGATCGTGAGTGGTGGCGGCTTGGATAGGCCTTCATCTAGCAGTGGATTGACCATGGCTGCTGCTGCTGATGATGATTAACCGAAGCGTTAGAGCTGTGATTAGTATGGTTGGCTACGTACGGTGCGAAAGAAGTTCTACATACATTCAGCAGTGGATTGACCATAGCTGATCATGATAACCGAAGCAGTGACCATGGCTGACGATGATCCCCCAACTCCCTGAGTGCATGGAAAAGGCAGCGACGTTTCGGGCGACACGCCACGATATGAAAGTCCAGGCTCAAGCGACACCTCCGACAAAGATGACGACGATGATGATGACGATGATGATGACGACGATGATGATGACGATGATGATGACGACGATGATGATGACGATGATGATGATGACGACGATGATGACGACGATGATGATGATGACGACGACGGTGATACAGACTCAGGCACCTGAGTACAGGTGTGGCGTGTTCCAAACCCAGGTGTGTAGAGACCACAATTCAGGCGCATGTGTGTGTGTGCGGCGTGTTGGTGTCACGGTTATCTTGAACCGGTCCTGGGCCTACCCCTAGGTGGACTCAGCCTCAACTGAGTAACTGGTGCGGTGCGTAAAAACATCGCTACTGGGGAGACAAAGGCGGCCGGGCGTGGTGTTGGCCACCCACCCCCTCGTGTGCCGTGCCGGCCTTCATAGGTGCTACTCGCTAACAGCACTTGCCCCAACAATCTGTTCAGGCTATACGGGGGATCTTTGTATCGTGTGCAGGTGTGTGTGTGTGTACACGTGTGTGTATGATATGAACAGGGGCAGTGTGTTTACACTTGCCTGAACAACGGACTATACAGGCTACACGGGATAACCTTTGTCATTGTAACACACAGATGCGTGTGTGTAGATGTGCGCACACAGGTGTGTGTGTAGATGTGCGCACACAGGTGTGTGTGTGTGTAGGTGTGTATACACAGGTGTGTGCACACAGGTGTGTGTGTAGGTGTGTGTGTAGGTGTGTGCACACAGGTGTGTGTAGGTGTGTGCACACAGGTGTGTATGTGTAGGTGTGTATGTGTAGGTGTGTGCACACAGGTGTGTATGTGTAGGTGTGTGAAAAGAACAAAGATAAACAAAGATCCCCCGTATAGCCTCAACAGACTGTAGGGGCAAGTGCTGTTAGCGAGCACCTATGAAGGCCGGAACGGTACACGAACACACACATACACAGGGGGTGGGTGGCCAGCACCACGCCCGACCGCCTTTGTCTCCCTAGTGGCGATATTTACACACCGCACCAGGTACTCATTTGAGGCTGAGTCGACCTAGGGGAGGCCCGGGACCGGTTCAGATAATCGTTACGGGTGTTGGCCGTGAGCGGGAATCGAACCCGGGTCGCCAGGTTCATAGCGCAGCGCGCTAACCGCTACACTACCGCTCTCCACTTACACGAACACACACATACACACACACCCTTACACAAACCTACACACACACCCTTACACGAACACACACATACACACACACTCTTACACGAACACACACTCTTACACGAACAAACACACACTCTTACACGAACACACACACACCGGAGCACGCACTCCTACATACGCATACTCATAAACTAACCTATGCACACACACACGCGCGTGCACGAACACACTACCACAACACACGCCTACCTGCACGCACCTGTACACACACACACGCGCGTGCACGAACACACTACCACAACACACGCCTACCTGCACGCACCTGTACACACACACACGCGCGTGCACGAACACACTACCACAACACACGCCTACCTGCACGCACCTGTACACACACACACACACGCGCGTCGGCACACCTGTGCGTGCACCTGCAAACTCGGCCACGAACCTGACAACTCGGCTCCATCCCCAACCACCGTACACATGTCGGCCCAGTTCATCGCTTCTCCTCCCGGATTCCTGGTGGAAGTGCGAGGAGGCGGCAGGACGAGAGGCGACGAGGAGGTCGGAGCAGCGCCACGGTCGCACCTGACTCCCGGCCTGAGAACGGCGAGTGAGCGCACCGCGTCCGTGCCGTGCGTACAGTGGCGGCCAGCGAGCACGGGGGGTGTGTGGGGGTGCTGAGCGGGTGGGTGAGCAGTGTTGAGGGGGGGATGGGCGAGAGTGGGTGTGGGTAAGCTGCTGTGAGCGCGCGTGTGTTTGTGTACAAATGCGTGTGTAGGTATGTGTGTGTGTTTGTGTGTGTGTGTAGGTATGTGTGTTTGTGTACGAATGCGTGTGTAGGTATGTGTGTTTGTGTGTGTAGGTATGTGTGTGTTTGTGTGTGTGTGTAGGCATGTGTGTGTGTTTGTGTGTTGGTGTGCGTGTGTGTTTGTGTGTGTTTGTGTGTTTGTGTGTGTGTAGGTGCTCGCTAACAGCACTTGCCCCTACAGTCTAAGCCTGTACGGGGATCTTTGTCTTTCTGTTTGTCTGTGTGTTCGTGTGTTTGTGCGTGCGTGTGTGTTTGCATGTGTGTATGTGCGTGTGTGTGTGTTTGTGCGTGTGTGTGTTTGCGTGTTTGTGTGTGCGTTTGTGTTTGCGTGTGTTTGTGCGTGTTTGTGTGTGTGTTTGTGCGTGTGTGTGTTTGCGTGTTTGTGTGTGTTTGCGTGTGTGTGTTTGTTTGCGTGTGTGTGTTTGTGTGTGTTTGCGTGTGTGTGTGTGCGTGTGTGTGTGTTTGCGTGTGTTTGTGCGTGTGTGTTTGTGTGTGTTTGTGTGTGTTTGTGTGTGGGGAACGGTAGTGTAGGGGTTAGCGCCCTGCGCTACGAACCTGGCGACCCGAGTTCGATTACTTGCTCACGGCCACCAACACCAGTGACGAATATCTGAACCGGTCCTGTGCCTCCCCTAGGTCAACTCAGTCTCAAATGAGTACCTGATGCGGTATGTAAACATCGTCACTGGGGAGACAAAGGCGGCCCGGCGTGGTGCTGGCTGCCCACCCACCCCCTCGTGAGCCACAGTGCCGGCCTTCAAAAGTGTTTGCACACAGTCTGTCCACTTGCCAAACAGCCCGTGAAGGCTGTACGAGGGGTGCTACTAAACTATGAACCCTGTGACCCGGGTTCGATTTCAGTGGAGAATGCTACCATAACCTTTCCTGGGACACCCCTAGGTCAACTCAGTCTTAAATAAGTACCTGGTGGGGAGGGGTGGTGGGGAGGGGTGGTGGGGAGGAGTGGTGGGGAGGAGTGGTGGGGAGGAGTGGTGGGGGGCTTTGTTGTGTGTGTTTGTGGGGAGCGGTAGTGGTCAGCGCGCCGCCCGAGTTCTATTCCCCGCTCACGGACAGCACCAGTGACGATTTTCTGAACCGGTCATGGGTCTCCCCTAGGTCGACTCAGCCTTAAATAAGTACCCGGCGCGGTGTGTAGTAAACATCGCCACTGGGGATACAAAGGCGGTCCGGGCGTGGTGTTGGCCACCCACCTTACAGCACTTGCTAACTGCACTTGCCCCAACAGTCTGGTAAAGGCTATACGGTGGACCTTAGTCTTTGTGTGTGTGTTTTTTGACAGCAGGAGTGAACGTGGAGCTGATCCGTCCTCTCTGACGATCGCTTTGTCGCCTCTGAGGCTACGCTGCCGCTGCTGCGGTAGTGAGTGGTGAGGTGGTCACCACCCTCCTCATTCAAACCCGCAATAGCCCGCGTCTGAGGTCAGCTGCTTTAAAATTGCAAGCGATCACGCTGGTCATCGTTTGCAGCTGCGGTTGGCATTGTCCTGCCGCTTCTCCTGGTACACCGATGAGGTTCGACCCCCGACTCTGACGCCCTGCTGCTGTATACTTGGAGTTTGCGGTGTCTCTCTCTCGCTTCTGAAGCGCTCGCTCGTCACCGTGGCGTGCGCGATGACCACCACCACCACGTGACTTTTCTTTCGTGTTGTACGCGCTGCATTTAGGGCCAAAGCGCGTGGATGTATAGCCATCATTTGTGTTGCTGGTGACTTTGTGTATTCGTGTTGCTGGTGACTTTGTGTGTTTGTGTTGCTGGTGACTTTGTGTGTTTGTGTTGCTGGTGACTTTGTGTGTTTGTGTTGCTGGTGACTTTGTGTGTTTGTGTTGCTGGTGACTTTGTGTGTTTGTGTTGCTGGTGACTTTGTGTATTTGTGTTGCTGGTGACTTTGTGTGTTTGTGTTGCTGGTGACTTTGTGTGTTTGTGTTGCTGGTGACTTTGTGTATTCGTGTTGCTGGTGACTTTGTGTGTTTGTGTTGCTGGTGACTTTGTGTGTTTGTGTTGCTGGTGACTTTGTGTGTTTGTGTTGCTGGTGACTTTGTGTATTCGTGTTGCTGGTGACTTTGTGTGTTTGTGTTGCTGGTGACTTTGTGCGTTTGTGTTGCTGGTGACTTTGTGTGTTTGTGTTGCTGGTGACTTTGTGTATTTGTGTTGCTGGTGACTTTGTGTATTTGTGTTGCTGGTGACTTGGTGTATTTGTGTTGCTGGTGACTTTGTGTATTCGTGTTGCTGGTGACTTTGTGTATTTGTGTTGCTGGTGACTTTGTGTGTTTGTGTTGCTGGTGACTTTGTGTATTCGTGTTGCTGGTGACTTTGTGTTTGTGTTGCTGGTGACTTTGTGTGTTTGTGTTGCTGGTGACTTTGTGTGTTTGTGTTGCTGGTGACTTTGTGTATTCGTGTTGCTGGTGACTTTGTGTGTTTGTGTTGCTGGTGACTTTGTGCGTTTGTGTTGCTGGTGACTTTGTGTGTTTGTGTTGCTGGTGACTTTGTGTGTTTGTGTTGCTGGTGACTTTGTGTGTTTGTGTTGCTGGTGACTTTGTGTATTTGTGTTGCTGGTGACTTTGTGTATTTGTGTTGCTGGTGACTTTGTGTATTCGTGTTGCTGGTGACTTTGTGTGTTGTGTTGCTGGTGACTTTGTGTATTCGTGTTGCTGGTGACTTTGTGTGTTGTGTTGCTGGTGACTTTGTGTATTTGTGTTGCTGGTGACGTTGTGTATTCGTGTTGCTGGTGACTTTGTGTGTTTGTGTTACTGGTGACTTTGTGTATTTGTGTTGCTGGTGACTTTGTGTGTTTGTGTTGCTGGTGACTTTGTGTATTCGTGTTGCTGGTGACTTTGCGTATTTGTGTTGCTGGTGACTTTGTGTGTTTGTGTTGCTGGTGACTTTGTGTGTTTGTGTTGCTGGTGACTTTGTGTATTCGTGTTGCTGGTGACTTTGTGTATTCGTGTTGCTGGTGACTTTGTGTGTTTGTGTTGCTGGTGACTTTGTGTGTTTGTGTTGCTGGTGACTTTGTGTGTTTGTATTGCTGGTGACTTTGTGTATTTGTGTTGCTGGTGACTTTGTGTGTTTGTGTTGCTGGTGATTTGTGTATTTGTGTTGCTGGTGACTTTGTGTTTGTGTTGCTGGTGACTTTGTGTATTTGTGTTGCTGGTGACTTTGTGTATTTGTGTTGCTGGTAACTTTATGTGTTTGTGTTGCTGGTGACTTTGTGTGTTTGTGTTGCTGGTAACTTCGTGTGTTTGTGTTGCTGGTGCCTTTGTGTGTTTGTGTTGCTGGTGACTTTGTGTATTTGTGTTGCTGGTGACTTTGTGCGTTTGTGTTGCTGGTGACTTTGTGTGTTTGTGTTGCTGGTGACTTTGTGCGTTTGTGTTGCTGGTGACTTTGTGTATTTGTGTTGCTGGTGACTTTGTGTGTTTGTGTTGCTGGTGACTTTGTGTGTTTGTGTTGCTGGTGACTTTGTGCGTTTGTGTTGCTGGTTACTCTGTGTGTTTGTGTTGCTGGTGACTTTGTGTATTTGTGTTGCTGGTGACTTTGTGTGTTTCATATCGGAATCGCCTCCAGTGCTGTTGCTGCTGGCGGTATTTGTGTTGCTGGTGACTTTGTGTATTTGTGTTGCTGGTGACTTTGTGTGTTTGTGTTGCTGGTGACTTTGTGTGTTTGTGTTGCTGGTGACTTTGTGTGTTTGTGTTGCTGGTGACTTTGTGTGTTTGTGTTGCTGGTGACTTTGTGTGTTTGTGTTGCTGGTGACTTTGTGTATTTGTGTTGCTGGTGACTTTGTGTTTGTGTTGCTGGTGACTTTGTGTGTTTCTGTTGCTGGTGACTTTGTGTGTTTGTGTTGCTGGTGACTTTGTGTATTTGTGTTGCTGGTGACTTTGCGTGTTTGTGTTGCTGGTGACTTTGTGTATTTGTGTTGCTGGTGACTTTGCGTGTTTGTGTTGCTGGTGACTTTGTGTATTTGTGATGCTGGTGACTTTGTGTTTTTGTGTTGCTGGTGACTTTGTGTATTTGTGTTGCTGGTGACTTTGTGTGTTTGTGTCGCTGGTGACTTTATGTGTTTGTGTTGCTGGTGACTTTGCGTGTTTGTGTTGCTGGTGACTTTGTGTGTTTGTGTTGCTGGTGACTTTGTGTATTTGTGTTGCTGGTGAATTTGTGTATTTGTGTTGCTGATGACTTTGTGTATTTGTGTTGCTGGTGACTTTGTGTGTTTGTGTTGCTGGTAACTTTGTGTATTTGTGTTGCTGGTGACTTTGTGTATTTCATATCGGAATCGCCTCCAGTGCTGTTGCTGCTGGCGGCAATAAAAGTTGTTTAAAGTCAAAAGTCTCTCTGTCTGTCCTCGTGGCCCCGTAGATTTCCCTCTGGGTCCCCCCCCCCCACCGCCGCTCCCCTCCACATTTAGAATCAACATCACGCGTTTAGGAGTATTTGGCTCCTGCTATGAATTACCACTCGATGAAGACAAGTCACTTCTTTGAGCTATCTATCATTTGTGATAGCAAGGTACCGTAAGTGACAATGGCCTGCTGCTGAAAAAGAGCTCTACATAGCAGCGCAGTAGGGCCCTTACCTGGTTAAAAAAATACAATTATATAACACAACTGAGGTGCTTGCGTCCGGGGGTGGAATTCCTTTCCAGCTCAGACCCCGCTTGCTTGCCCATCGCCACGTAAATAACCTCTTGTTGTTGTTGTTGTAGCTGCTCTCTCGCTGGTTCAGCTGTTCTACTGCTGGATTATTATTTTTTTCCGCCTGAGGGCGACGGCTTGTGTTGCGATCGAAACGTCTTGATCTATTTTATTTTTCTACCCACGTGATTTTACCGAAAGAACCA